ACTCTTTTCATACCATATGCCGAAATTCAAGAACCTTTCTATGCTTGGTGCATATTTAATTTAATTATATTAATCAAATTACATGTTTTAAATGTCTATTATGAACAGTAGAAAAATTCTTAAGTACTTTATGATTTACCAGGTATGATGAAAATGCAAAATCTCAAGAATTGATTACTACGGAGGTATGGTGAAGACTTACCAGTTAGCCGGAAAAAATAATAATTATGGTGTCAGCTTAAAGGTAAATTGAAAACAATATTCATATAAATTTTATTCGCATTTTTTTTTCAAATAAAGTTTCTCTCAATTGCACCGTTTGATAGAAAAATATTAGATATATCTATATTGATTTTTAATGCAAATTATAATCATATAAATATATAAAGTAAGAAAATACGCAGTTTTTTTAGGTTTTGTCAAACGGTGAAAAACTTTGATTTTATCACAACTATGAATGGAATAAAATATTTTATTTATAACTTTGTAATGAAATCCTATATTCTCTTGGCTGAATCATCATATAATAATATCTATCTAAGGTAGTATGTGAAAAAATAAATAAAGACGTAAAAAAAACAGAAAGAAATTCGATATTATTTTTGTTCAGCACAAAAAGATAGTGATAGCCAAGAAATTTAATCAAGGCGGATATTCAAGTTTTTCTGTCTACGCATTATATTTCATAAATTTTGATGCGTAGTTGAAATTTAACAAGTTTGGTCAAAATTAACAAAAATACAACAAATACAATTTACACAAAAATTGATACAAATAAATTATTTATATATAAATGTTGCTAGATAAAAATAATTCACTTACTATACTTCGTATTTAAATATTTTCAAATGTGAATTTTCTGCCATTATCAAATTAAAACTTAGATTTTCTTTATTAAATTTACGTGAACCCCTTGGTATACCTACTTTTGATTTTAAATTTTATTTATTATTATAATTATATTTTATTAAAACAATTTCTCAACTTTATTATTGATTTCGTGATGCATCTCCTCAGATTGCTCCTGTTACTACAGAAGAAGAACAAAATGCTGATACTTGTCTGCAAATTAATGGAACTAAAGAACAAACCATTAACATTCAGCCTATTCTTCCCGATTTGAAATTGTTCAAAAGAGTCGGTAAGATAAACATAATAATTATAATAATTAGTTTAAACAATTTCTCCTAATGTTTGAGAATTTTTTTTAGGCGAAGAAGAAATTTTAGGACTGAACTGTGACAAATGGAGTTTGATCGACACCATCGGCCACAAACTAATAAATACACCATGTGGGTCAGGTACGTACAAATTTAAAATTTTTGCTTACACATAATTTTGATTATTACTATTTATGTGTGTATATTTAATTTAGGTACAAGAAATCTCACAAAAACTCCGCAGAACGTTTATCAATTCCTGTAAGATACGAAATGAAGGGATACAATTCACTTCTTGGATCTCATTATGACCATTACTATTTGGAGTACGATTCTTTTAGCACAGACGATATTGATAACGAAGTTTTCGAAGTCGATGAAGGTAACTTCCAAATTTATAACTTATATTTCCAGAAATTTAACATTTATCGTCTTCCTTTTTTAGATAAACCTTGCGTTGGTTTCCCCGGTCCAGGATCAGGAACAGTTGCCACTTTTAATCCAATGAGGGAATTCGTGCATCCTCATTTTACTGAACATATTGATGAGGAATTCCACCGATTCATCAATAAACACGGAAAAATTTATAATAAAAATGAGGAACATCATTTCCGAAAAGAAATTTTCAGGCAAAACTTGAGGTAAACTAATAAAATCTCAACATAGACTCTTCTTTACTAACTATAACGATAAGGAGCGATAGGATTTTTTTGGATATTTTTTGTATATTTTATCTTTTGGATTTCATTTTCTAGGTACATTTTTTCTAAGAATCGTGCAAATTTGGGATACACTTTGACTGTTAACCATTTGGCTGATCGTACTGAAGCTGAACTTAAGGCTTTGAGAGGACACAGACCTTCCTCCGGTTATAATGGCGGTTTACCCTTTCCTCACAATACCACCAAGGAAGCAAGAAATTTACCAGATTCTTTCGACTGGCGAATTTATGGAGCTGTTACTCCAGTTAAAGGTAGGATGACGCAAATTGGATAAAAAAATTAAAATTTGAAAGAATTTGAAATCATTAAGTTATAAACCAACGTGATGAGATGAAACTAAATATCTGAACCAATTATAAATAATACCATTCCAAAACGTTAAGATTTGCGAAAAGGTATAGAATTAAATATAAATTTGCATAAATTATAAATATTAAGTTTTAAGTTCAACCCCAGGATTTAATGAAATTTTGCTGTAGGTATATTTGAATAGATATGTTAATAAAGTATTATATCATTTAAGATCAATCTGTTTGTGGTTCCTGCTGGTCTTTCGGAACAATTGGAGCAATCGAAGGTGCATATTTCTTGAAAAACGGCGGTAATCTTGTACGATTGTCTCAACAGGCTTTGATTGATTGTTCTTGGGGTAAATGACTTTTTTTAAACTAGAATTTCCAATGATAATAATAATACTATTTTTTATTATTTAATCGTAGTATGGAAATAATGGTTGCGACGGTGGCGAAGATTTCCGCGCCTACCAATGGATGATGAAACATGGAGGAATCCCTACTGAAGAGGATTATGGTGGTTACTTGGGACAAGTAAGATCAGTTATTGCCCTAAAAAATAATTAACAGAAATTTCACTATATACAAATATTTTTTCATTTTTGTTGTTATAATCTATCCAACAGATGGAAAATGACTCAATTTTTTGGCAAATGTTGATGAAAAATGAAAAATTAAGATTAGTAAAATACATAGTTGATATTGCGCCATAAGTATGCATTTGAAAAGGAAAATTTTAAAAACACAATCTCTCAGCTATTTCCAAACAAAATAAAAACATCCTATTAATTGGGAATATCTAAAAATATCTACCTAAAAAAAATGTTCATGCATCCATTCTTTTCAAGAGTTTATTGGTGGTTCTTACGAAGAACTGATTTCTAAACCTATGAATTGCTATGGCAAAATGTATTAACACCTGAGTCTTCAATTTTGAGAATATTCTTTTGTCTATTTAATTTTGGTATTATTAATTCTTCAGGATGGTTACTGCCATGTCAAACGTTACTTTAGTTGCTCCTATCACAGGGTATGTCAACGTAACACGTAATGACGTTGACGCTATGAAGGTAATTATTACATTTTATGAACACAAAAGGGGTGTAATAATAAAATTGAAATCTTAAATCAGTTAGTTACACTAATTGCTTATTTATTAATCTGGTTTATGATCAACTAGGTTGCCTTCTTAAACACGGTCCAATTTCGGTGGCCATTGACGCATCACACCAAAACATTCAGTTTTTACTCCAACGGCGTTTTACTACGAACCGAAATGGTAACTATCAATTCCAAAGTTGTTTTTACCTTCAAAATATAAATTTTGAAGTATTTTATAAAATCATATATCTTTTACCAGTGGCAATAAAAAGAGGACGAGTTGGACCCATGCCGTATTAGTAGTCGGTTATGGTGAAATCAACAACGAACCTTACTGGTTGGTCAAGAATTCCTGGTCGAATTGTGGGGAAATGATGGTTATATTTTGATGTCCGCCAAAAATAATAATTGCGGAGTTTTGACTGATCCAACTTATGTTACTATGTAACTTACTTTTTAAGAATTTGATTTTTTTACAGGCATTGTAAAATTGATGTTTAGCTTTAAACGAATTCATATGGAAAGATGAGAATAAACAAGACTTAGATTAAATATTTGCGTTTTAATACGTAGATTGGAGAACTGCCAAGGTCTATTTGAATAGAAAATATATTTTGAAATATAATTTTCAAAAAAAAACAATTTTTCATTAGTTCAAATCATAGCATACTGGTAAATCGAATGAGGATGCTAATTATCATAAAGATATTATAACTATCATAAAAAAATTCTTAATTAAATGTGTAATACTTCGAAGAAAAGGTAATGCCTGTTTATAAATGTATTTATTTAAATTATTTAAATGTATTTATTGCCGTCAATTTTGTTGGATCCTTGTATGGTTGAAAGAAAACAGGAAAATTAATTTAAAACAAAAAAAATCGAATTTATTTGAAACTTTAAAAAGTATACAATATATAAAATAACATCAATAAAAATTATACATGTTTTCTGAGACTTTACAATACACTATCATCAATTATATGTAACAATATCTATTATTTTTTCAATAGAGTTCGCTGGGCTGGGCTTGAAGTACGTGGACCAGGTATATTGGAAACGATATTCCCTTTGCCGGTTGGTTTATATTTCAAATTATTATTATTTGCTGAATTAGGATCTTTCAGTGAAGTCAAAGATGAAATTTTTCGTCGGGCCGTCATTATGTTTCTGCTAGCATTTTGGAGAACTGAGGACGCACCTGGATAAAAGACATATTTGATTTCCTTTTGTAAAATTTTTACTTAATAATAATTAATTCGAGGGTTTAATTTAATTTATGCTTATTGATAATATCTTCTATCAGCTATCCAACTAAATAGCAGAAGTACTGTATAAAATATTTTTTGCTGGTTGCTAAAAGTGTTTCAATAACAAAAGTTTTATAGAATCATAATATGTTCAAGTGAGTAGAGTGTTAAAATATCCAATATTTTAGAAGAAATAAATATTTTTTTGAAGAAAATATATACCATACAAACAATCGAACTTGTTATATAAACAATGATCGATATCATAAAATGTGTACTTTATACACAGAATGTCAAAACTATTTTTATCAACAATTCATGAACGTAAATAGTGATTGATAAGTGGCCTGAAGTACATTGTGCTGAATTTTTTTTACTTTTCGTGAATCATAATATGCCGGTTAATCAATGTAACCGTATCATTTTAATGTAAATATTAATTGAATGACCCATTTTTTGAATTTTTAGATCAATTTTTCAATATAAAATGGCAGACAATATAATTTAATTCAACACATTTGATTTCATAGAAACATTTCATAAACCATAAAAAAGATTTGCGTAATTGCTCATTATTAAAATAAGAAATATTGCAAAAAAGTAAATCATCCAAAATTTTAAATAAATAATTTTGTACCATATTTCACAGAAGTTGTTCATTTATTTCATAGAATAAAATTAAAATTTCATTCTATGTTTATTCGGCAAAAACTACATAGATTGGGAATCACAAACCTAATTACTCAGAACTTTCCAGTGATTCCCAACCTGTGTAGTTTTTGCCGAATAAACATAGAATGAAATTTTAATTTTGTTTGCAAGTCCCTGCAACTGGAGCATCCAAGTTTTTCCAAAATATTTTGTAATTCAAACCAAAAAATAGGAATTGGTGTTAAAAAAATTGATAGTAATTTATGTATGTTTTTTCATTATATTGTATATTATTTTGTATGCCGTTAAATAATTTATAATAACAGTTAAATATTTATAATTTTGGACATTTTAGATAAATTCAGGAGGCGCACCAATAATTTTAAAAAAGTAAAACGGGGAGGACGCGGTATGGAAAGTTTGCAAACCACCGAATAAGTATGAAATTCATATGCTAGTATATTACACCTACTAATTATTTTACTAATCTTACCTTCTGCTCCTTTAGCTTGATTATTACGGATGGCAACGCCCGAAATTTTGGAGGTAAGGGACTTCCTAGCAGTCGGCAGCCTTGCGGCTCCTAAAGAAAATCGCCCCACTGCGCCTCTGGCTAACCGAGGAGTTGGTGAGGCTAATTTTCGAGCTGCTGTACTTGATGTATTGTTAAGGAACGAAGGATTGGACAAATTGTGAGTTTTATTTAAAGATTTCTTCAAAAGTTTTTCAATTTTGTCCATGTTGGTCCTCGTGTCTTTACATAGTTTCATTATAGCGTCGCAGTTCATCTGAAAATTGAGGAGGATGACAATGATAATTGGTTACTTGATTTTATTGAAACTATTTGTAACCACATGATAAAATTTCAACTAATATGTAGATTAGTCGAATAGTATAAATTTTAAAATAAGAAATATTTTATGTAGCTAATGTTAATAATCTTATAACAAAGTTATTACTGATCCTTACTTCGTCCAGGCTGATTTGGCCTAATCCATCTGTAATGCTAGCTATCGGACTTGATGTAGCTTGCAAAAATGGTGTTTCTCGTTCCCAAGTCAATTGTCTTTGCAATTTTTCCTTCAGCTCTGTTTCTTTCTCAGTTTCTTTAATTTGTGGACTTAATGATGACAACGCTTTTGCTGGCAGAGATTTACGGCCCGTAACTGGTTTTGGCTAAAAATAAAAAACAATTTTTAACAAAATTTAAATTGTATTTGAAGTTTTATATCTAACAAGTTATAAATGAGTTTCATCTACCTCATAGTCTATCGCCATGGGGCTAATAGGAACATTTTCTTTATTCTGAAGATTCTTGAAAGAATCATCAGTTCTTGACTTGCACATGGAACCAGCAGACTAAAAAAATATATAATTGGATAAGATCAAAATAAGATGAAATTAAATGAAACATTTCACGTGCTGATACCTTCAAAATATTTAATCAACATTTGAGAAATTTAAACATTTTCAGAACATTGTTATTACGAACCAACAAATTCATTAGTTCTAGCTTTTCTAGAATTTTTAATTCCATCTAGTAAATAAAATCTAGCGATTTAGCAAATCTATCTCAAGATTTGCTAACATAATGCAGTATTTATGGAAATTCGTTTTCACTGGTACCAAAATTATTAATAATTAAAGTTATTCTATTTTCCTATAAAATGATAATTCTATTATCTTCTTACCTCGACTGAAGTGAAACAACCGGCCAAAGTATCAAGTGATTTATATTTTGAAGCACTCAAAAGCAAAGGCTCATTTTTCAGATAGGGCTTTCCAATTTCGTTAATATTTGTACAAGATTGGCTAATGATGTTGCAGGCCGAAAATTGCGCATTTGCATCGGAATTGCAAATTTGCTGAATTAACATGTTTGTGACGTCGTACAAAATACAAAGATTTGAATCTGAAAATTAGGAAGTTATCAGGCAATGAAAATTTGGGAACGAAAATATAAATGAAGCAAAACTCACCCATTACTGAATTCAATTGTATGTGATCGGATAAAACATTTAAATTTTTTAAAATATCTCGAACATTCGTAGTGGGATTCCTTTCCTTCGTTTTGTAAAACCACGTGTTAATTCGCTCCATAAACTTTCTGGATTCTGGAAGATCGGCTATATTCATTTTTAACACACAAATATATAATTATATATAGCCAGAAAAAATCATCCAGATCAAACTTATTAAATGCACTTATATTTTAAACAGATTCACTAAAAATCACGATTAATCACAAAAATGTTATGTACTACGTCATTATTCTGAGGATTGATTCGTTCTGTTTAAAGTCTTCGAGCAAAATGCTAAATAGATACAACCTTCCCAAAATGCAATTTGTTGTGATAGTTATTACATAATGTCTAGATTTAGTGAATAAATGTATCAGTCAAAATATTTGAACAGGTACAAACTGGTATTAAACGGTATGAAATAAATCGGTTGGTTTCAATTTTATACAATCAAATATATTTAGAAAATTGAAGCAATAGCTAAAAATTGCTAAAATTTACTGAAGATAATATATATAATTTTTTTAAATTTTAATTTTTTTCTGAATTTTATATAATTCATTTTATATTTTTATAATTTTCAATTTTTACCGTTTAAGTTTTTTTTGAATTTCATATAATTCATTTTATATTTTTATAATTTTCTATGATAAATTTAATTATCTATAAAAATTATTTGTCTCACCTGCAAAATCCATCCAACTAAAATATTACAAGACACAAAACGGCATTCATCATTCTCAGCCACCATCCTTTCTGATCTCAACAAAATATTTATTTTTTGTTACTTCAAATTGAATATAAAAGGAATATATCTTACACCTTCAATATTTTGATCCAATTTCGAACTTCTTAGTGTTTTAATGAAAAATTCTTGTAATTTATAAAAAATCTCTGCGTCCGATTTTGAAAGCGACGTTGATGTTGTTAAATATTCGATTTTAATCGTAATTTTAACAAAGATGTGTAAATAAATATTGTTTTATTTCATCTTTCTTAATTTTTAATATCGGTAATAAAATTTTTAAAGTCAGTTTCGTTATTGTCAAATGTTAATTGTTATTTAAACAATTTTTTTGTTATATACGCATACAAATGATAACTTTGTGTAATAATATATAAAACATATTTAGTTTAAAATTTAACACCACTTATCCACCTTTACTTATACATAAAAATCTTCTAAAACGTACCTAGGTAAAATTTGTTGTATAAAATATTAAATTTTTATAAAAATATCTTGGATCGGTTTTGGTTTGCACAAATGGTAAAATGGTCATGAGTAAAAAATAATTTAAAAAATTTATATCTTAACACTATTTTATAGAAAAGTATGATAAAAGTCCTATGGGTTCCTGAATAAATTTAGGCTATTTTTAAATTAATCTTATGCTTCTGAGATTCATTTTTCTAGGGCTGTTTATCCTTCTGGATCGTACGATGGTTATCTTTTTGTTGCTGGTTTTGATGTTGATTGTGGTGATGATGATGATGCCGCTTATGTGCCATGTGGGCGGTTGCAATGCCACTGGATGTTGATTTTGGCATCATTTTGAAACTTTCGGCAAAGGACGGGTATGGTGCCCGTGTACGGTATGTTGCCAGGCCGTCAATGTTGAGACCGGAACGCTAAATGGTAAAAATAGTTGAAAATTTAAATAAATATAGTTATTTATTGATATTAACTTAAATCAACCTGGGGTGGAGCATGAATCGACTGCGAAAGTTGTTGGTTTTTGCCGACGAATATATTGGGTTCTTCCAAAATTGAGGCTTGATTAGTTTCAGCTTCTGTTTCAGACTGACTATCTGCTTTATCATCATTATTGTATCCCAATGAGGAATTCTTATCTACAGGCTCCCGAACCTATTATAAATAAACGTAGTTGACGAAAATAAAGCCAGATGAAATTTTGGAATCAATCCTATTACTACCTTCAATTTTTTCACGATGCTCGCCACCGGAGCTTGGGCATAGGACACGTTCAATAATGCGTTGTTCATGGACTGATTGTTCTTTTGATTCTGTGGATTTTGTGTGGATGATACATTATTTGCTTTATTCGACATTTCGGATATTGTCGAAGACGACTTTTGGGCCTGTTTATTTCGACTCAATGCACGTGTTTTGGACATTGCCCACGCGTTAGTGGCTGCTGTTCGCTTGATGGTTGCCAACTCTCTCAGGCGTCTATTATCCCAATTCTAGCCAAAAATAATAATAAATTGAAGTTTGTTTAGGAATTATTTATCTAGTTTTTACAATAAAGTTACCTGTTTTGGTTTTGGAATATCAAGCGACACAAAAGTTTCTGGCTGAGCCCAAGGTTTCTTTTCTGGTGGTTTAGGACTAGTCATTTTCAAATAGGTTGTATCAACTGTTCTAAATAACGATTTGGGCTGCTGAATATTCTGGATCTGTACATACGGTTGTTGCTGTAAACTCTGTTTTGGAACTAATTGCTGTTTTTTGGGAATGGTTGCAGAAACCGGTATTGGTACTTCTTTTTGTGTTACATTTAAGGAGTTGGTAATCTGCGCTGGACGGAATGGTGCCATATTGGCTCCACTATTCGATCTAGAAGCTTGCATTGTGCTTTGTTGCAAATGCTGAGTTTGACTGGCCCTTGAGTGATGAAATATCATTAGTATAGCAATATAAATATATTAAAAATTAAGTGCAACGTTTCTTAACATTATTTATCTAATTTCCTTTACTTGATGATCAATAACTCAAACTCTACAAATTATCAAATCAACCAATGTACAAAAAAAATTTACCTCTTACTCTTTAAATTTGCACGTTTTGGCTTAATGGTAGATATTTTCACTGCTGGAGAGTTATTTAAGCCAAAACTTGTTTCTCCCGTGCTGGATCTCAAGCCTAAAGTATTTCCGGCTAAGAATTGGTTTAAAATTTAAAAACATTGCACATTAATTATCATCAATGACAAATATAAAATGTTCTAATATTGGAACAAAGATTTCTTTTACTAATATTCTATAAAATTTAAAATTAATGATAATATAACCACTCAAATACTGAAAAAATTTTGCACTAACCTGAACTTAAGGATTTCAAACCGCCTGTCATAACGGTGTGTGTAGTTGGAGTTGCTGGTACTTTCGGCAATACACCTCGTAATGGATCACTTGATGATGGAACAAATTGTTGTTGCTCTTGATTTTTTTGTGAAGAGGATGTATTCTGAGATTTTTGTTGATTTTTTGAGCCGTATTGAGGATTAGCCCATTCGTCCAAGGAGATTGATCGTTTACTTTGGCCATAATCAGGCACCTGTTTATTGCATATAAAAATTAAACCATATGTATATTTCACATAAATTTATAAATAATAACACTGACTTTTGTTTGCATTTTAGTTGCTGATGTTCTGGTATACCCTTTATAAAGTTTTGAATTTCCTACAAATGTTTCATGGGCATGTCGATCAGACACTTGTTGTTTGGACCTTTTACCACCGGTTGTAGAATTCACATTAGCATTCATTGTTGTACTTTTGATTTTTATGGAATCATTAAGCGTTTTATTCAATTGTCTTTGAGCTAATTGTTGTCTCACATTTTCTTTGTCAGCAGTGGGCAATAATTCGGAATAATCCTGACGACCAGCAGATTCTTTCCTCCTGAAAAAGCAAAAATTTTATCACTAGCAAAAATAGTTATGAATTATATATTTTAAAGTAATGGAAAAACTCAAAATAAATTAATAATTTAAAACGAAAGATTTTTATTTACCGCAGATGTCTATTTGGTTTTGGAGTATTAGGCCTACGGGTTAGTTCTGCGAATTACTTCGTCTCTTTGAACTGCTTGCGTTTTTTTACTAATTTCAATTAACGAAATAAATAACCAAATTGCACAAAATTACTTAAACTGTTGATTAAAGTATATTATATACCTCAACAGTGGAACATCCTTATTAGCACTGAATTTTTTCGAACGAAAGTGTGTAGGAGTTTTTGTTTTATTTCTATTAGGTCTTATTGCTTCTTCAGGAATAGGGTACTTTATCGATCTATAAAATAAAAATAAAATCATTTCTACAATTTTTTCGTATTTTATTTATAATAAAATATACCTATTAACAACATCATGCGGATCAAAAGGCAAATGTCCCAACTGTGGGTTAGACCTTTGTTTTTTGGAAAGCGATTTTAATCGACCAGAATCTCTAAGCAATTTATTTCTGGAGTCAAAACGGGAGTTTGGTCCAGGCTGTATAACTGAAAATAAATTAAGTAATTATATTAAAGGTTTATGAACTATTTATTATTTATTCAAATCTTCATACCACCTCCTCCGATATGTTGATGTCCTTTCTTTGGTTTTGTGAATGTCGATATGGGTGCGACGACTGGGTTGTCTAGATTGCCTTTGATTTAAGTAATTAATTCAATATATTTTTAATGCATTAGTTGAAAACATGATGACTATCAGAAACAAAAAACTAAATAATTTTGGTATAGTCTTTCAATTTATCACATTTGTTTCCGTTTCTGATTGTCATAAAAAAGAGATAACCTATTTTGAGAACAAAGCAATTTCTACCTAGAATCCCTTTTCCATGAGATCTATATTTAGTAACTGGTTTAGGAATATATTCAGCTTCAAGATTTTTGCCCATAAGTCTGACTGGATCATGATGCCTTTGTATTTGGCGCAATTCTTGCATCCTTGCTCCAGCAGTCTGTTGTTTAACTTTAGGTTCACTTTGTTGTTTAACTTTAAAAACAAAGAAAAGCATGCATTCACTAGGAAACAGTGTACTTTCAAGTTTTTTTGTATATGAATTTATTATTGTTTATTTATTAGATACTCTTTTCTAATGATAAAACCTGTATTATTTATCCAATATGTCTTTCGCACAATACCTTGTTCTTTTGGTGGTTGATTGTGAGTTCCAAATGCACCCATCCGGTTAGCAATTGTGCCATTAGATTGCAAGCTTTTGGTAGAATTGAGAGGTGCATAATGACCACTGCTCATACCAGCAGTTCCATATCCTTGGCCACCACTGCTAACCGCTGTATTTCCAGAAGGCGCGTTGAAATGGCTCATGGTATTTCTTTGCACATCTGTAATAAAATAATAAATCACTTATTGTTAGTGACATATTACTTTGCTTCTAAATATAACAATATAATATATTAAATTTTATTTTTAATTATATCATACTTAAATATAAGTAGTATTTATTAAAGTTTCATTGCCTGATCGTCTTTCCGCGATGTATGCTGCGGTTTTTCTATGGATTTTCTTAAACTTTCCTGCCAAGTCAGTAGTCACCGAGTGGGAACTTTTCCCTTTTTCTATTTTTCTCAAACTGGATTTAGACTCAGGTCTTTGTTTCGCCGATTTTGTAGTTAGTCTACAAATTTGCCAAAGATGGATAATTTTACTTAAAATCCAGCAATCACATCCAACGAAAAATTACAAATAAAAATACAACCTTTTAACTCTGTTTTTCGTGCTAAACTCTCTAATTCCTTTCAGATGTCTGTTATTCAAATCTTCTCCTAAATTCTTGAATATTCCTTGAGTTTTTAAAACGTTTGAGCCACTATTTACCCCAACTGCTTCTTGACCAACTTCTGTTGATGCATGTCTGGCAGATTGGCTTCCCATAAAATTTGCTCCAAGAGCAGGTGGCAATTGTGATCCTTGTTCGTTGCATTTTCCTATTTTCTATAAACAAATAGTATATTTAATAAATTCTGTTAGAGTTGACTATTTTGTCACAAATACAATAATCTCACTGTTCTGTAATTTAGAGTATCCGAAAAATTATTTCTTATAACGTCACGGATGATCTTGCCTCGTGGCCAGCCCACGCGTCCGGCCATATCTCATGGTAAGATCCGCAGATCTGTATACCTGGTTAAATAAAATATGGATTTTATAGATTGATTAAATTTTTTATTAATATTTTTTACTTATATTTTTAGCTTCTGCCAAGGATCTCGGATTGAGTCCTTGCATTGTCTATATAATACTAAATTTTTTATAAATTTTTGTTCTATGTTAGCTATGTCTATCAAAAATTAGCTTCTAACCAAGCGTTTTGTCAATGAACTTTTGTATATATTACATCCAAAATTTTGATATTTTATCTTAAACTTTATATTGCATATATATTAAATCTAAAAAAATACTCACCTTTTATTAGTTAGCCTAAATTCTATAACAAGAATTTATTCCTGGTCCCACAAACATTTATGACCTGGCATATGTCATTAGAAATGCACTTAAAATTTGTAAAATTAACTGGTTTTTAAACTGTTTTTATATAATATTACACAATAGACATGGTTGCGTTTTTTGAAATAACGTTGTGACTTTTTTTTGTCGTTGTTAAATTATCAAAATTTATAATTAAGAAACAAAACAACGGATTTTTTATGGAAAATACAATCGGTCTGTTGTCATTTTTTTGCCAAAAATTTTTTGACGTCGCGGAATCTAATATGATTTTGATTTTGTTTTGTTTATTAACTATACTTAAAAAATAAAAAGTAGGAGTTAGTAATATAATTATTTAGATTAAGTTAACTTTATTAATAATTTATATTAAATGAACACTAATAAATTTAAATAATTGTTCCGATCCTAAACAATATTAGAATTTAATGAATTCATGGTTCCGGTCATAGATAAAAGAAGTTCCGGTAGACATCTTAAACGTGCATGACAATTTCAAAACATGGATACAATTTCATTTGCTTGCATTTATCCATACTTTCTTTAAAAGTCAATGATTCTGATAGGCGATCTGATAAATTGGCTATTGAAATGTCAAATGTAATACAAACAATATTTCTAGATAAGTAAAATATGAATAAAGAACATGGAAAATACGTGTAGTATAGCAAAATGGATTTTCAGCATTGCAATATAATTATATTATTAATTTTCCTGAGCATTTTCATACATGAATCTTTCAGTGGTCGTGAGTATATTGACACGAACTATTTGATGGTTATGTTAAATGATATTTTCAATTCTTATTTTTGTGTTTAAACAGTAAACAATTTGCATATGCACGATGGAGCCTCCATTCATGACGTAACAAACGGCGATATATTTTTTGAAATAGTAGAACCACGGGAATTGGAGTACACTTATAGGTTAAGACCGGCGAAAGACTTCGGGGCTCCTTTTGTAGGTTTCAAAATCTAATTATTAATATTAAATATCTGTTAATATACCTATAATAAATTCCTTTGTAAAAATTATCTCTGCATTAGCAACTCGTTAGTGTCCATGTATGGTATACTCAGTTTCTTTCTCATAGAAGCATTAAGATAATTTGCAGTAAACTTGATATGCACATGCATATCATAAATACTTTGAATTTTGAATTAAAGTGCTTATGTTCTATTGTTTCAGAATTCGTCAATTTCTCTATTGAAATCTCATTTGATTCCCGTCGAACCACCTTATGCTTGTGAAGTTCTAACAAATCAAGAGCTATTTGGAAAAGTAGCATTAATAGAAAGAGGGTATGTAATTGTGAGAAATAATTTATAATTATAAGCTAACAGTAATTAAAAATTAATTTTAGAGAGTGTTCTTTTGTTGAAAAAGCACTAAATGCTGAAAAAGCAGGTGCTGTGGCAATAATAATAACTGATACAAAATCAGTTGATACTGATTTATTGCTGGACAGAGAATTTTATATTGAAATGGTTGATGATAACACAAACCGAAATGTAAACATTCCTGCTGGATTTCTGATAGGGCAAAGCGGTAGAATGATAAGAAAAGTTTTGAGAAGACTTAACTTAGATTATGCTATAATTAATTTACCAGTAAATGTAACTTATAGGACTGTGAACAGTTTAAAAGAACCTCCATGGATTGGATTTTGAAATATATAAATACTATAGCTGTTTATGGTAATTATTTATATATTGTCATTTTTTTTACATTTATGTATTATACTAATTCTATGAATGCATGGTATTTATCTATTGGTTGATTTAACAATAATTAAACTTAAATATTTAAAAAATATTAGAACAAAAATATTTTCTTTGTTGTGCAAATAAAAAAAGGCTGATGTATAATGTTGATGCACTCATAATTTTAAAAGTTTATGTGCCTAAATTTATTAGTTTTAAATGTTACATAGTTACCATCACTGATTATAAAATTTGTAATTAGTCATTATTAATAAAATTCTAATAGCATTGCCACAATTATTATTTTAATACTGTTTAATAAATACTACAACAAAAATTGTTCTATAACCAACGATTGTTAATATTTACGTTTATAGGTTTGGATTGTTAGGTATTCTATTAATTAAAACTTCTAAATTGCTCTATTTCATACTACATTAAACAGGTGGCCTGTATTTTATAATAAAATCATTTATAATGGTTTGCAATTTTTCTGGTTCATTTAAATGAACATGATGAGATCCTTCAACATAATGATGTTCAAACAAATGATTTTGCTTCAAAACCTCAAGGACTTCATAATAGTATTTTTTATCCTCATAATATGGAGAATTGATTGCTTTTACAGCCATATAAGGCATATTTATATTTTTGGCTAAAGCAATTATAATTTCTTGATTCAGACCTGCAAATATCATCGATGCCAATCGCTTATCACGAGTAAAATAAAATTTCTCTGGATCAGAACTTGATGGAGCTATAGATCTTTCTAATAAGTGGTGGCAGAATTCTTTATCAACTGATTTATTTGTACCTGAGAAAATTTATATGCAAATATTGAATATTATAACATAGAATATATTATAATATATAAAGCAAACCTTTATGCCATCGTTCAATCATTTCCTCAATAGTGTAACATGGGGGTTCACTGTCCTTAAGATTATAGTTGTCAAATTTCACAAAATCTTGAATTTTTTTCTGGAACATTTGTGCAAATTTCTCTGGTGGAAATATGTGCGGTTTTAATGCATCGAGGCCAATGGCCATGTCAACTAGCAAAGGATTTATATATAAGAAACATACCTTCTAGTATAATATTTCAATCTTGATAAAAATTTAACAATTTCATATTGAATTGAGTATAATTATTTATATTAAACACAATTACTATATGATAAAACTATGAAATTGTTGGGTATTATTATATTAAATTATATTTCAACTAACCTTTTTCAGGAAACATACAACAATACAGGAAAATAGTGATTGAACCCATGGAATGGCCCAACAATGAAATTTTGTCCCATCCAAAGTGTTGTTGAATCCTGTATAAAACAACAGGCAATTCAAATGTAGAGTACATCAAGCCATCAGGAATTCTAGATGACAATCCATGTCCTGGAAAATCTATTGATAATAAACTGACATGCTTTGGCAACAATGGGGCCAATGTATTGAAAGTATTGCAGTTATCCTGCCAGCCATGTACGGCCAAAATAGGACGTGTTTCGAGATGTGGATTCCATAATTTTCCTGCTATGTGACCCCAGGGCATTGGTATAGAAACATCTTTTACCTATAAAATATATAGAAAAAATCACAGCCACAGGAAAGAATAAATAAATGATTACAAAGGTATGTATGTATATTTGGTTGATTGATTGGTTCAAAATCAGAATAAACACTTGCTGGTTTCCTCTGCGACAATCATCATACACTCTTGGTAATTATCAGATTAACTAATAGAATTAGTTGTTTTTACTTAAAATTAAAATGGTTCAGTATTATTCTTTATAATTTTGAAAAAATTCTAACCTTCAATTATATTTGGTTAAAATTTCCAAGTCCAAGATTGTCACACTGGTAATTTTATTAATATGAATTAGTACGAACCTCTGCTTGCTCCTTTACTAATTTTGCACTTCGAAAACTTCTTTTAACTGCATATGTAACATTTTTTAAATCGCCAAATAACCTTGTGCAAGACTTTGACATTTTACCAAGTTTGCAAATTTTTATTGATTTCTTATTTATTAAATTTTATCAAAAAGTGCTTTTTAAAATTTCTTTAATTCAGAAATGAGTTGTGACATTTGGTAGTTTTTTATCTTAAGAATGCATTATATTTCGCTTGAAAATGGCTATAAAAACGTCATAATCACGTAATAGCTTTTGTCTTTGTCGCACGTTTAAGCACGTGTATATATTCGTCACGGTGAATCGTACTTTTGGACTGTATCTCTAGGTCGAATTTTTTACATTGAACTTGTTTAACATTCTGATAAAATTAATTGCCATCCATAAATGCTAATTCACGCTGACTAATTCATGACTTAAATGTTTTCGATTTCACTATAATTTAAGAATTATATCAGTGTGCTGATTTCTTTTTCACCGCCAAAATTTAAATTATTCACACTACGGTTCACGGTTTGTATATATTATTATAAATCCTTGTTTATAATAATACATATAAAATTTATCAAAATTAGGAAAAAAAACTTTTTCCAATATGTCAGCCATTTTCGTTATTAGAATTCAACTTCCGGAACGCGTTCCTGATCAAAAAGGAAGTACCGAACATTCCTGCTCGACAACGCCATTACCCAGTAAACACGCGATGTGATCTTCTATAATATCGACATCGTTATTATAATGCGGTTATCGAATCTACGCCACAAGAGGATTTTAAACTTGCGTGCGCTTGTGTGTGTTACAATACACGCAAAGCTCGCATTGAGTTGTCTCGCGAGACATAAACACGCGCTGTCGGGGGGTAATGACATCGTTGAATTTCATGTGAGATACATGTCGTGCGCTGGTGTGTGTTAGCACACATGCAAAGCATAATCAATGACGTCACACGGCGTGAAGCAAACGCGTCGTGCGCTG